TCATATGTGTCCCAACAGGGACTGGTTCGTGGATTTTCAAGAAGGAGAATATGGAGTCATCCATACAACGGATAACAGCTCTCTTACCTCATATGGAATTGGTTCAATACGTTTAAGGAACCATGATGGAATGATCAGAACATTAACAGATGTTCGATATGAACCGGATTTGAAGAAGAATCTCATCTCTGTGGGAGCCCTAGAATCAAAAGGGTTCAAAATCATTGCAGAAAATGGGGTGATGAGAGTATGCTCTGGTGCACTAGTGGTAATGAAGGCCAATCGGAAGAATAATAACATGTACCGTTATCGCAGTGGTACAGTTATTGGGATAACGACAGTAACATCCAGTGACGAAAAAGAGGCAGAAGCAACCAGACTATGGAATATGTGTTTGGGACATGCTGGAGGAAAATCCTTGAAAACTCTATCAGATCAAAGATTGTTAAAGGGAGTAAAGGTTTGCAACTTGGAGTTTTGCGAGCATTGTGTCAAAGAAAAACAAATAAGGATTAAATTTGGTACAGCGATCCATAATACTAAAGGCATTTTGGATTATGTACATTCTGATGTTTAGGGTCCTTCCAAAACACCTTCATTGGGTAGGAAGCACTATTTTGTAACCTTTGTTGATGATTTTTCCCGAAGAGTGTGGGTGTATACAATGAAGAGAAAAGATGAAGTGTTGGGAATTTTTCTCAAATGGAAGACGATGGTGGAGAATCAAACAGGCAGGAGGATCAAGTGTATTGCACAGACAATGGAGGTGAATACAAAAATAATCATTTCAATAAGGTCTGTGAAAATAATGGCATCATCTGACACTTTACTGTCAGACATACACCACAACAGAATGGAGTGCCAGAACGTATGAACTGGACCTTGCTGGAGAAGGTACTGTGTATGTTGTCCAATACTGGCTTGGGCAAAGAATTTGGGCTGAGGCAATTACATATACATGTCACCTCATTAATCGCTTACCATCTGTTGTTATTGATGGCAAGACACCATTTGAAAAATGGTATGGAAAGCCTGTTGTAGATTATGACTCTTTGCACGTATTTGGCTCAACTGCATATTATCATGTGACAGAGTCAAAATTTAATTCAAAGGCAAAGAAGGCTATTTTTATGCGGATTACTTCTGGAGTCAAAGGATATCGCGTATGGTGTCCTATGACAAAGAAAGTAATATTCAGCAGGGATGTTACCTTTGATTAATATGTTGTGGTAAATAAGGTAACAGAAGATACCAAACAAAATGTGGGTGCTTCTAAGTAGGTGGAGTTTGAGGAAAAATTTATTATTCCTACACAAGAAGCAGAGGAGGAAACAAATGAAGATTATCCTCTGGAAGAAGAGCCAGTAGAGAGGGAGATTCCAACTCAGGAACCTCAACAACAACTTGAATCAATAGCAACCAGTAGGCTAAAAAGGACAATAACAAAACATGTTCGTCTTATAAAGATGGTTGCTTGTGCCGCCTCAATTGTAACTGATGATATTCCTACCACTTATAAAGACGCAGTCCAAAGTTCAGAAGAAGATAAGTGGAAGATTGCCATGAATGATAAAATATAGTCCCTTTATCAGAATCATACATGGAGATTGGCCAATTTCCCGAAGGGAAAGAAAGGAATTGGGTGCAAATGGGTATTTGCAAAGAAAGAAGGATTTCCTAACCAAGAAGATGTTCGCTACAAAGCAAGATTGGTGGCCAAAGGATATGCTCAAAAAGAGGGAATTGATTACAATGAAGTATTTTCTCCAATTATAAAACATTCCTCCATTAGAATTATGTTGGCTTTGGTAGCACATTTGGATTTAGAACTATTTCAAATGGATGTAAAAACTGCATTTTTACATGGAAACTTAGAGGAAGAAATCTACATGACTCAGCCAGAAGGATTCAAAGTTGCTGGAAAGGAAAATATGGTGTGCAAACTTGAAAAATTGTTGTACGGATTGAAACAATCTTCTAGATAATGGTACAAATTATTTGACAAGTTTATGTTGCGGCAAGGGTACAAGAGAAACAAGTACGATCATTGTATGTATTTGCGCAAGCTTAAAGATGGTTCCTTTATATACCTTCTCCTATATGTTGATGATATATTGATAGCTTCCAAGAATTCGAAAGAAATTGATAAGTTGAAGATTCAACTGAAGAAGGAGTTCGAGATGAAGGATCTGGGTGAGGCAAAGAAAATTCTTGGCATAGAGATAATAAGAGATAGACGTTCAAAGAAACTTTGTTTATCTCAGAAAGAATATTTGAAAAGATTACTACAACGTTTTGGCATAGATGAAAAGACTAAGCCAGTTAGTACTCCACTTGCTCCCCATTTCAAGCTAAGTACTACTATGTTGCCAAAAGAAGAAGCTGAACGAGAGTATATGTCAAAGGTACCATACGCAAATGATGTAGGTAGCTTGATGTATGCAATGGTCTGTACGAGACCTGACATTTCACAAGCTGTTGGAGTTATTAGCAGATATATACATAATCCAAGAAAGGAGCATTGGCAAGCTGTGAAGTGGATTCTACGGTATATTCATAATATTGTAGATGTTGGGTTATTTTTTGAGTAGGAATGCAATCAGTCTGTAGTTGGATATTGTGACTCAGATTTTGCGGGTGACCTGGACAAACGAAGATCAACTACTGGTTATGTGTTTACTTTTGCAAAGACACCAGTTAGTTGGAAGTCTACTTTACAGTCAACAGTTGCTTTGTCTACAACAGAGGCAGAGTACATGGCTATTACAGAGGCTTGAAGGAGGCAATTTGGTTTCAGGGGTTGCTTAAATAGCTTGGTATTGGACAAAAAAGTATCACAATTTTTTGTGATAGTCAAAGTGCTATTCAATTAGCGAAGAACTAAGTTTATCATGAAAGGACGAATCACATTGATGTTCGGTATCATTTCGCACGAGAAATCATAGATGAAGATGGAGCAACGGTGAAGAAAATTCATATTATGGAGAATCCTGCCAATATGCTAACAAAAGTGGTGACTGCAGTCAAGTTTCAACATTGTTTGGATTTGATCAATATTATTTAACACTAAAGATTGAAGATGAAGACACAATCAAAATTTGTTATGGAGAGAAAATTGAAGATGTGGAATTTTGCCAATGTGGAGATTTGTTGAATGTCAAAGACCCACATCGGTGGCTTGACATATTTGGTTGGGAATTTTTCCCTATAAAAGGAGGCCTAATGTTTAGGATTTAAACACACCTCTCATTTGCCTCCCCATCTTCTTAAGGCATTTGTATCTTCTCTTTTTAGTATTATTTCACTTGTAATTTTGGAGTGGAATAAAATATTGGTTGTGTCCGAAGAAGTATGCAAAATTGGCCGAATTTCGTAAATTCTGGTGTTCCTTTTATTGTTGTCTTATTTATTATTTAGTTGCTGTTATAATTTTTGGTATAGTAGTTGTGACTCATTCACACTATATACATTTGGCTTCCGCAACACAAGAAACCTTGACTCTGTTTACTTCAACGTTACTCCATGTAATACTGTAATTAATCATCAAACCTATAATTAATATACACTAGTTACAATATTTTAGCTCTGTATTAGCTGAAAGCAGGTTCAACAGATGGAAAGCATTTCAAAGGTCGGAAATGATGAATATTTTTATTAAATGTAGGGTTAATTAATAAAACAAATTAATTAATGTTGAGACATCACTATCCTTATTCTGGAAGCATGGTGTTTAATAATCCAAAACCTTAGTATTTTTTAATTTATTTTATCAAAACACACACACACTCTTCTATATAAAGAGACCAAGAATAGCAAGTCCTTCCCACTACTCACAAAGCCAATTAGAGCTCTTTTTCTCTCCCAAATTTTGTATAACAATAGTTTCTAAGTCATTATTTATAATTCTATGCATTCTTCTTCTCTCCATTTCTGCACAGAGCTACACTCGTCGTGCTCGCGCTCCTTGTAAGGAAATGGTATTTTATTTTCACGACATTGTTTATAATGGCAAAAATTATAAAAATGCGACTTCAACCATAATTGGCGCGCCAGAATGGGGCAATAGGACCATAATGGCAAGTCCTAACAATTTTGGGGACTTAATTGTGTTTGATGATCCAATTACACTAGACAATAATTTACACTCAACCCCAGTTGGAAGGGCACAAGGCATGTATTTTTACGATCAAATGGACACTTTTAGTTCTTGGCTTGGTTTCTCTTTTGTGTTTAATAATACAGATTATAAAGGAAGCTTGAATTTTGCTGGCCATGACCTTTTGATGAACAAAACTAGGGACATTTCAGTAATTGGTGGAACTGGTGATTTTTTATGGCTAGAGGAATAGTTGTTGGGAATAAACCCCCTATTAAAATAATATTCACGGTAATAAAAGCGGAATAATAATGTAGCACCGAGATACGGTAATTAATAAGAATAAAAGAGTANAATAATAAGGAACTTTAGCCATGTTCCCTTTCTCCTCCACTGTTGTAGGACACATCTTCTTACTCAACTTTATATGACCAGCAAGAGGTGTGCTGACTGGCTTAGCATTCTTCATGTTGAAGCGTTCTAGTACACGTTCAATGTACTTCTC